GCAGAGTATTCGAGCCATCTGTACAGCAAAGCAACACACAATTTTGACGAAGGCTCATCAAGTGGTCTTCTGATGCAGAATGCGATTATAAGCAAGTGTGGTCGGCGCTACATGCTCCACAACAACTGTCGGTGCTGCCGTGAACCGTGGAATGAGAGAATCGATGGGGAAGAGTTACATGAAATTTGGAGTTCGTTTCCTACTTTCACTTTTCGGTAGCTTAGTTTAGTGCTTCGCCAATTTACTGTAGCAAGGAAAAGTCTTATTGCTTGCTACAATACCACAGTTATTGGTAGATAAAGTAGTAAAATTCCTTTCATAATGACAAACTCTCTAATTTCTTCGCCTTCTTCCGTTCTGTGTAAAATAGGGACACTAAAAATTAGCTCGAGTAGTAATACCTGCCAGAGAAGCCAGCTGTTTGTCGGTGTTTCTTCGTACGAGGTTGTACGAGAGCACTCCGGCAGCTGATATACCTTCGAAACAAATGAACGGATCGTGATGGGATTGATTGCCCCGTCTGTGCAGTGAAACTTGAATTGGGTTGATTGTACAAATTTTTCATTAATAGTATAATTCAAGCATTTCATCCAACTTTCTCAAGTTTTTTTCCAATTTTTTTAAGCATGCAAAAATCGTGCCGCTGATATGGATTTAGTCAAATATGCGGCTGTAGTGCATACACCCCTGCGCCCATTGATACCAGTAATTTTTTTTTTACATTCTGTAACTATGGTAGTTCACTGTAATTGGAAACCACACCGGATAAATGTGTGTGGTAAAATATACACGAAAAGTACACCAGAATTTTGCAATCTCTATTGTTGGGTAGCGTTTCAGGTGGTATAGAAGAGGCAGAACGGCTTGGAATAGAGAAAGTTGTCGGTAACGTGCATAACCCGCCAGAACTAACTCCATCGTCTTCGCAGGTAAACTTTTTGGAGATTTTTACTCATGAAAATTTCACACGACTTTAATTTTTGCTGCACATACCTACTTCAGTAATACTTTGATCAGCTGGTGCCTCTTAATTGCGTTTCTTTTCCGCTACTTCGCCATCCTTCTGCATTTTAGGCTTTCATCCGTATAATCCTATCCAGCTGTTTTAGTAAACCTTTCCTTCGCCCTTGTTTTGTATAGTTTTGGCATTGCTTGAGTACCATTCAGTAATCAACTTCCACTCCTACCCGCATGCACTGTTCGTACAGCTAAGGGATGAAACACAGAGTACGTCATAAAATGTCTTCATACACATAACATTCAAGTAAAATCCTTCCATTCTTCTATTCCATCCATTCTCGCTAGATGATCCGCCTAATTCTTTTTGGTGTACATTACCTTATTGATAGCGTTCGCGTTTTTTGCAATTTTTTGGTGCCTATTTTGCATCGTTCCATGGCTAACAGGATCACCGATAATTTGTGAGGGGGCTTAAAGGAGCTTAAGCTTTTCTTGGTTGCCTGACATCATCTTGAGTGATTTTAAGGGTTTTATTGGAAATTAGCTTCGGATAAATTGTTCCCCACTGCTAGCAATACTTCCCAAATGTTTGAATAACTAATGTTAAATCCGACTTCACCGACGTTTTCCGTCCTTCTCCATGTGGAGTGGATTTGATTTACTTTTTCAATAGGTTACAATGAGCGCATTGTGTTCCCGAAGGAATCGCTTCATGAGCTCATCCAGAGGCACCGATTTATAAAGTATACATTGGAAGGCTCAGTCCATGCCTTAGCGCCTTCATCCAAATGCCTGAGAGATTATTAGTAACCTTTCGCACTTTGCTTGTTAATTCGTCATAATGCAAACCGAAGGACATACAGAGTGATTGAATTTGTTTTTCATTTTTTTCTTATTTGTTCCACGCTTTAAAGCGTGTTTTAATATCTAGTGCACAGCTGCTTGATCTTTACTGCTTTATGCGAACGGCATTTCACCCCTTATTGTGTGATTCTTATCCGCTATTCAGACAAACGGTGCTCTGTACCCTATAAGCTTAGCCAAACAAAATATGATACAGTCTCCTCTTGTTGCTTTTGGAGTTTGTATTCTGCCTGCCTCGACGCTTAGTCATTCTTTTCTATGCATTTCATGCTTTTTTTTTATTTCAAAGGACTAGAAGCCTAAACGTTAGCTCGGTGCATCTGTCTATAAATTTCGATTTCCGATTTTAAAATGTCGACTTTCGATTTTAAAAAATTTTACAGAATACAGCGCTCAGTCAGGATACTTTTTTGGACATAACAGCACCAACAGCTACGAGTAGCAGTGCACAGGCCATACAAGCGAGTGTGGAGAGTGTGCTTGAAGAAACACAGATGGACAACGGCAATAAAGCGTTGTTCGGTTGGGGCAGACGACTGCGAAAGAAGCATGGTCTTGGCACAGAGCAGTTTATTGCCTTGCTTGTTGGTTTCTTATTCATATTTTTCTAACATCTCCTCCGAAATCTTTAAGACTACAACTCATCAAAATTTGCCTCTCACTTAGTAAAATGGGTTATTTTCACGATAGTTTTAGCGTACATTATGTTGTAATTCGACTTGCTGATTTCTCGATCTGCTTCTACGGCTGTGCAACTTTTCCATTTGCTTTGACCAGTACTGCGTCGCCTAGTGCAAAGCTTGCTGGTGATCTTGACGTCCGTTCCTTTTTTTTTCTTCTGAAATAACCATTCATCGTTCCGAAATTCTTACGGTAACGGTATGTCAAGTTCCACCACCTCGTCTTGAGCGTTGCCATTCCTAGACACAGTGAGGTGCCTTACCGATTAGAGCTTATGGTTTTAGTAGTTGTTAAATTTAATAGTGGCTTTAAAACTTACATCTTAAGTTATTTTCCAAATTTTGCATTATTTTTCAGTTTTGCTTTTTGTAGTGTTTTTTTTCTTTTGGTTTTTTAATGCTTATCTTTGCATTTTTTTTTCATTTAGTGTTTCATGGTAATTATTTCACTGTTTTGATTTTCTGATACTTCAAGAGATTTTTATTGGATTTTGGTCCTAGTTTGTTTTATGCACCGTTGCTTTTTCTAGGCCCATACATTGCGAGATCTGGATCCATTTACAAGGCGCATTTTCATCCGACAAGCACTTTTGCCATCTCGGAAATCTTACATTAACAGGATTGCGGATACTAAAAGTGGTTTGACGTATGCGCCAATTGCTGACGAGCTGGAGCCCTTCGAGGAGTCGTTCAAATGGGGAGTTTTCAGAATGAAGTGAATATTTGAATGTTTTTTTCTTTGCTTCACCATTTTTTTCAAATCACTGAGGTCATAGTTCACATGTTCGGTATGTTTTGTAGATGGAAAGAGATGAGTAACGAGGAACGAGCAGCAGCGATGAAAGCATTGCCCGGTGAACATCCAACACACAATTACTTCTTTGCTCGATCGTCTGAACAAGTTTCTGCAGAGGTTTGTCGTTTCGCCTCTCTGACACCGTTATATTTTTGCAGAACTTGGCCTATTTGTCTTTTCGTAATAGGATGCAGTACTTGGGGCAGGTCTGATGTTACGTTTCATTTCGCACTTGCTAAACTGAGAAGGATGGGATGAAGAAGTAATTTAGAAGCGGAAAAAAAAACAGCTGCAGATTCTTTTGCGGTAGAAATTTTAATGTATGAGGTAAAATTCCGTATTTAAGGTGAAGTGAAAATTTTGTTAGAAAACGTAGAAATAGATTATAGGAAAGATCAAAAAAAAAGTAAAAAATTGGCCAACGCACGGGCTGCCCGTGCGAAGATGCGTTTTTTGCAGAGTTCCCC